CGTCCCCACTCCCGAGGCTGGGCTCCCTTCTTTCCTGGCTGTTCTGTCCAGGCCCTGGGCCAACCAGACTGGGCCACCCATGAGTGAGGGGGTCTTCCTCGGTTCTCTGACTCTCCAGAAACTCCCTCTCACACACTGCCCCACACACCTCATCGGCGGAGGTCCCTGGCCCATCCAGCTCCCATTCGGATCCCCTCTCACTTACTGTGACGTCAAGAGCATGTCGCTTTTCCTGTGAGTTCCCGGGCAGATGTCCCTCCTCGCTTCCTCCCTGCCCTGCTCTGCCCCTCTCCCTTTCTCCCCTCTTCCTCTTCCCAGTTCTGGTTGCTGAGATGCTCCTGAACCTGGGCTCTGCCCCTTCTTGTTTTCCAGGTGTGACTACCCCAAGGTAGCCTTGCCTCACCCTAGAGATCACCTGAGTGCTGATCCCTCTCAGCTCCGCATCCCCAGCTCCACGGTCTGTATCCTTCCACAGCTGCTCGACCACTTGAGATGTCAACTCGGATATCGGATACGTAAATGGCTTCTGCAGCTCAGCAGGCCCCACACTGAGCTGTGGATGGCTCTCCACCTCCAAACACGCTCCTTGAACAATCCAGAATAGAGGCGGCAAGAGGGGGCCAAGCCAATTCTAGAGCCCCCATGGTATCCTGTTCTACCCTGTACCACCCACACCGAGTCTGTCAGCAAGTCCTGTTGGTTTGACCTTCAAAATACACTGAGACACAGTGCCCCTCCCTGTCTTCACCCTCAGCCTCTGGTCTGAAGCGCCCTCTCCCTCACAGGGCCTGCTGCAACGGCTTCCAAACTGTGACTCCTGCGTCACAGCGCTCACTGGTCAAGAGCCGGTGTCCCCTGCCTCACAACACTCACCTGGTCAAGACCTGCCTGGGGCTCCCAAATCCCAGAAGCATGGGGAATCCTCATTGTGGCTACAAAGTCCCCTGGACTCCAGCTGCACATTGAAACTCCAATGTGCTTCTGCTGACCCTCCAGGATCCTCCATGGGCCCAGGGGACATGCTCTGCAGACAGGCAACCCCTCGACTCGCCACCAAACCTGGCCTCACACCTCCAAAGCTCACACCGTGCAGGAAAACTGCATCAGGACCAGCCTCACAAAGGGATAAGCATGTCCCCTCTGGCCCCGATGTAGTGGCCAAGCTTCATCCTCAGCCTGGTAAATGCCACAGCCACAGCTGGTCAGCGCCTGAGAATTCTCTTCCCCGCAGCTGCTTGGCGTTTTCTCCCTCGCGGTTTCCCCAAGATGACCACGTGCCTGCTCTCAGGACTCCTGACTCCTGGGCTGGGCTGCCTGTGGGTCTGAGGACTTCTCCAGAGCTGGCCTGGTTTGGGAAGGAAGCTGGCTTAGGTTCTCTGGCCTCCCCAGTCACCATCTTGTAGCTCACAGCTTGGCTCTTCCGACCCAGTCTTGGGCCCTTGTGACCTCAAGGTGAGTGACTTCTCCACTCACCTGGACCTTCCTCTCCTCTGACGGTCTCTTTCCCACAAGCCACCAGGCTTGGCCCTGAGGTTGGAGACTCGGTCGTCCGTCACACGTAATACTCCTTACACGCAAACCGCTTTGCATCCTGAAGCCGCTCGGACCTGGGTGATCTCCGCCACCCTGCTGGTCAGGGCTCTCGTGCGCTGTTGCCAGTTCAGAAGACCCAGATGGGGTGTTGCCTGGGGTGGGGCAGTCCTTGGCCACTGGAAACACTGTCTGCCTGGAATTAAAACTGTCCCTGTGCCATATGACAGGCACAGGACTCAGGCCAAATTCAAGCTCTGGCCTCAATTCAGTTCCCTTAAAAGTCAGGCTCCAATGTGTGCTTGTCCACCTGCGGGGCACATAGGACTTTTTACCTGTGCCTTGCCACTGGGAATCTCCCAGGCAGAAACAAGTTCAGCCGTCAATCCCAGTTAATGACTTGGATATTGAAATGTGGGAATCTAGCTGGCAGTCATCATATTAGACAGCAGTAACAAAGAAATAAAGGAAATAAATATCTGGAGGAGCCCGTATAATTGCAATATAAATTAAAAACAAATCTTCACCAGCACGGATCTCAGGAATACTGAGGATGAGATCAGGGCACTTCGCGAGCCTCGCCTGACTTGGACAGGAGTCATCCAGCACACCTCCAAGAGGCTGTCAGTCGCCATCACTCCCAGGATGCAGCGGGAAACTGCGGCATCTTCCAAGGTGGGGTGCCTTATTCAGAGCCACATGGCCCACTGGGGCAAAATCAGAGTCACAGCCAGTCACAGCCAACTGGTCTGTGGTTGTGGAAGTGTTACGTCCAGCTGTGAGGTGTCCCCTGAGAGCTCCGGCAGGAGGTGAGGCCAGGAAGTGAGAGGGGAGAGGCTGAGGTAGGAGAGCTGTGACCTGTGGGGGGGTTGATCCATGGACTTGGGTAACTGGGTGGTCACTGAAGGCAGGTGGGCTGTGGCTGCAGGAGGGGTCACTGGGCTGTGCCTTTGGGGTTTGTATCTTGCCCCTGGTGAGCAGAGTGCTCTCTGCTTCCTGGTGTCCAGTCCTGAGCTGCTCTCCCTGCTGTGTCCTTCGGCCATGATGCTCGGCCTCCTCGGCCCAGAGCAGGGCGCGGCCGACGGCACCTCTGAGCCCCTGAGCCAGAATGTTCTTTTCTTTGTGTGGCTCTGCTCAGGTCTTTTGGCCTCAGTGATGGAAAACTGACTAACACAGGAACCAACTGCTGAGTGGTACCGATGTGAGGAGATCAATGCCTGCACACGGCCCAGTGCATTTAGTGGGTGCTCAATAGATGCCACGAAAGGACTAGAAACAGCACAAAAAAAAACATGTTCTACTCTGCCCGGCCACCATGCCTGCTGAGGCCCTGCAGGAGCCGGTCAGCATGAGCTCAGGTGCATCTGGAGGGACGTGTCCACTCTAATGTCAGCTCCACTCTTTCCCAGGACACACAGCGTGCCCGTCCATCCAGGCAGATCCCTCTGACCAGCTGTGCAGCACACTGGGCACAGTGGGCTTTCGCAGGCCTGCTAAGGCCAGCTCCTCCGTCCAGCAGGTGAGGAGGGCAGGGAGGTCCCCAGACACCAGGAAAAGGGTGCTTTAAACACGGCTCTCTACTCAGGCTTGTCTTTTCCTTGTTGGTGGCTGGTTTGCTCTGTTCTGATTGTCGTCTAAACTGTCCGGCCATCAGTATGACTGACCCAGAAAACGTCAGCCCTTGGAGTTGCGGGCGGACACGGACCCAGCGGCACCCCTCTCTCCCGGGGGTCTTCAGTGCTGCCCAGTACCGTGGCACCCGTCGTGACCCATCACGTCTGACAGTCCTTCGAGGGCATCCTTTGAGAACATTTCCGATGCCACTTCCAAGCCTCCTGGGAGTCGAGGAGGACCTGCTGCATTTTGTTCTTTTTTCATGGAAAAGCAAAAAACAGAACGACGGTACTTGGCGACTCTTTCCTGACCCTGAAGCGTCCTGGGGTCCCCAGAACCAGGCTGAGGGAGGTGGCCCCAGGAGTGAGCAGCCTGGCACAGTGAAGACCTGAGGTACGAGTGGTCATGGCATGGGGACAGCGTGCCGAGCGCCCCTGACCAGAGACCCCAGGGTCACCTCCCTGTTCTGAGGGACGTTGGATAGTGACCATTTCTCCTCAGGTGTGAGTGGGAGCCACATAACAATAACAAAACTCACTTAATTTAGCTGTTAGTCAGAAAATTTTGTTTTGTTGGATGCTTTATTAGAAAATTGATGTGAGATTTTCATGTCTGGTTTCTAGTTTCATAATCAATCTAACTGCTGTTGAGTGAGTCAGTAGTGCCGGGTGGGCATGAAGCCAGCATCAGGAAGGACAGCTAGGAGTGGACTAGGGGAGACCCTGAGTGCGGCCAGGGACGGTGGTGTTCCAGTGAAATCAGTGAAGACGGATTTCGTGGGGACGGACTGGCTTTAAGGAGTGTTGTGATGACCCCAGAAGCCTGCTGCCTTCTCGGCTGTCCTGCTGAGCCGCACTTCAGGCCTGTCCTTCAGGAACGTGGGCAGGGACAGGGACGTGGGGCCTGTGGAGGGCAGAGAGCCCAGGCCCTCCTGGCCCTCCTGGCCCTCGGCCATGTGCACAGGGCCTATTTTTAACCCGGCAGCTAGGGTCTGAGGTCTGGGCTTCCACTTCTATTTCTGGAAGTGGACTGTGGCCGAGTGAGAGAGCCCGGCTTGGCCATGGTCCTGTCCCACCGATGCGGCAGGGCCAGCTGGTCTCTCTGTTCCCCTGCACTGCTCCCTGAGTCTCCTCAGTGTCATAGAGACTCCCTTCCTGGACCAGGGGATGAACTTCCCAGATCAGCTCTGGAGAAGTCCTCAGACCCACAGGCAGCCCAGGGAGTCCCGAGAGCAGGCACGTGGCCATGCTTGGGGCATCACAGAGGGGGAAAACGCCAAGAGGCTGCACAGGACATCCGTCTTCCATGGGGCTTGTCAGCTCTCCGGCTGGGGTCGTGCATGACCATCCCTGAGAGTCACTTTATGTGCCTTAAGATGGAGCTGGTCACTCCTGTGGCTGTGGCATTTACCAGGCTGAGGATGAAGCTTCCCCATACATCGGGGCCAGAGGGGACATGCTGATTCCTTTGTCTGGTTGGTCCTGATGCAGAGTTTTCCTGCACAGCGTGAGGTCAGCTTTGGTGGCGAGTGGAGGGCTGCGTGTCTGCAGAGTGTTCTCTGGGCTTCATCGGGTATTGGACCTTAGTGCTGTGCACACTCCTGGGGCGACGTGGCGGAGACCCTGACCTACTGGGGACATTCCCAGCTAATGGAGGGCATCAAGCCCCACCCTGGCCTACAAAGTGATCACAGTCCCATACACTGGGGGCTGGCACAACCCCGTCCTGTGAAGAGCCGTTCTCTGTCCCACACAGAGGGAACCTCCCTCACTCAGCCCAAAGCCAGGCTACGTGGAGAGAACCTAAGATCTTAGCCCACGCTGTCCCAACGCATGCGTGGAGACAGGGCATGGACGCCCTGCGTCAGCTCGCGGGCGTCGCTCCCCTTCTCTCTGTGGACCCTGAGCTGCCTGGCAGCCCGTGGGGAGGAGCCTGCTGCAGACCCCAGCCCTCCTTGCTGCCTCTCTGCAGACGCACAGGCGCTACCTCCTCTCTGCGGAGTGCTCGGCCCCCACAGGACAGGCTAGATTGGATGCCACTTTTGGTGACAGGTTGGGGAGGCAGCTGGGTTTGATGCAGACTGACAGGTCCGTAAATTTGGCTTCTAATTTTATGTATTTATTTCTGTTAAAGAAAAGAGGGAGAGAGGGAATACTCAGAGTCATGAAATCATTAAAGCCAATTCCCTTTTTCTCCCCAGCCCTCCCCTGCCCTGAGTTGTGCGGAACCGTCTTTGCAGCTCCGGAGCCATCCGATGGTATTGATCCTGGTGTGGAAATTGGTATTGACTGCAGCTGCTGCTCTGCGCACTTCCCCGGCTCTTAAAGACACAGCGTAGAGGTGATTCCACTTTGCACAGGACATAGCTCTGGAGAGGTTTGCTGAGACACACTAAATAGTACAAATTAAAACCTGGGCCCTGTGTCTGGCTCTCCTTTGTAAGCCAAACGGGAGTTTGGGAGCACTCCCAAGCAGGCACCGTAGAAGATGTGCCAGCTCTGAGGACAGACAGGACACCTGCTTGTCCTCTGCATTCTCCCTGACCACTGGAAATGTCTGAGCACAGCCCCTGTCGTTCAATCTGTAGAGGACCTGAGTGGGAAGCCGGGTTTGCTGGTCAGAGAGGCTGTTGTCCGTTTTCTTTTGCTGCCTAAAAGGTTGTCACAGACTCAGTGGTGTTTAAACGCAAATCCGTCTTCCCAGTCTCTGGGTCAAAAGTCTAGTTTTCATCTTCTTGGACTAAAATCAACAGTTTTCCCTCCTTTTGAGGGGCTTAAGGGAAGATCTGTTGCTGCTCCTTGGGATCACTGGAGAATTCGGTTCCTTGACCTTTTAGAGGCCCACACACTGGTGCACCCTCCACGGCCCAGAGCGTCTCTCTGTGTCTCCAAAGTCAGCATAGGGTCTCACTCTGACCCACTTCCCCTCTCCCCTTCCATTTTTTAGGACTTGTGTGGTCAATCTGTGCTGGTCAGCTGTCCATCACTGAGGAATACCTGAAGGAATCAACTTAAAGGAGGAAAGATGGACTGGGCTCCTGGTTCCAGAGGTTCCGAGCGTGGCCCGCTGGCTCCCTTGTTCCTGGGTCGTGGTGGAAGAGACTGCCCACCTCCCCACAGCCTGACAGCAGACAGGGAGGGCTGGGGACGAAGCTCACCTTCAAAGGCACACCCGCAGTGACCTCCCAGGAGCCTCCTGACTTACGGCTGCACCAGGGAGGAGTCAGCCCGCACCTGTCACCTTCCCGACTCCCCACCTCTGAGGAGCGCCTCAGGACCAGCCAGCACCTGAGCTTTCGGGACGTGCCAGCCCCAGACCATGACTGTCTTGTTGAGCACAATGGCACAGGACAGTCCCCGTCGAGGTCCTTCAGTTGAGGTCTAGGCAGGCCTTTCCTTGTGAGGGGCACCTTCCCAGGCCGCGGGGATCAGGAGGTGCACACACTGGCACCAGCCAGTGCTCTGCCCCTGAAGCCATGGTGTCTGCGACTCTCGGCTGCTCCAGGAGAGCCTAGGAGAGTTAGAGAGAGGCTGGCGTTTGACTTTAATAACGGGCAGCAGTGTCACTCACGGATGGCGTGTTCACAGAGCGGGTCACCCGTCCAGCCACCCAGGACGCCCTGTTCTAAGTCAGAGGCCGTCCCCAGGCTCACCCGCGGGCATGCGTCTCTGATCCCACTCGGCGGCCGCCGTGAACACGAGAGTCTGGGTGCTCCAGACACCCGCAGGTGAGCGCGGAGAGAAACACGGAGAATGGCACAAGGAGAGCCACGTGCTGTGTGGCCTGCCCAGGGGGACTCAGCCGCGGGCAGGTGGGGAAGCTGCTGAAGGGGACCTAGGACAGGCCATCTACGGCCCCGTCCCACGTGGCAGACAGAGCACAGAGGCAGGTGTGAAGGGCCTGGTCCCAGTCCACTCGCACCTCGAGAGCTGCTCCCCACAGGACATCAGGTGCCCGTGCTTGACTCCTGAGACGTTCTGCCTCTTCCTGAGGGGACCATGATGCTGTGGCCTCTGTCCTAGAGAGGCCATTTCCCTGAGGCTTCAGCCTATGGGCCACCTGTCACCTGCTCTCAGTCACTGCAGGCAAAGGACCTGGCAGAGTCCTGTCGGCCTCCATGGCTAAGGGAGACCTTGGGCTGAGCTGTGGGGAGGGCCAGGAGGGCAGCCCTCCAGACAGGGAGGGAAGGCGAGGCCTCATGAATACTTAACCAGACACAAGTAAGTATTAATGAAACAATGTATCTCTAAGTGCTTAGATTACCTTCCATGCTCCAGTCCATCTTTATTTCACCTTGGCTTATGCATGCCTGTGCGTGCACACCCATGCATGAACACACACACACACACACACACACACACACACAAACACGCAGACACACAGATTAGACATTTTTTATACATCTGCTCTGATAATTACTTAATGTGATAATCCCCATTTAGCTTAATCTAACCCTTTCCAAGTTTATTCCTGAAGCTGCAGAAGTGTGATTCTCCCGTGAAATTGCTGGGATCCCACCAAGGCCCGAGCCTCGTCTGGGCTGCTTCCATGGTGCAGAGCCGTGAGCGGAGGGAAAGCAGGGAGCTGAATTCGAGCTCACGTGTGGCAGCGGCTCTGTTCTGCATGCAGTTGCTCCCAATTCTCCAAATGAGCGCTGGGCTTGCTCTCCCAGAACAATGAGGGCTCTCCTCCCTCCCACAAGGGCCCGGAGCTGCCCAGGGAGCGTTTCCGGACCCTCTTGGTGAACTTTCAGCCCGCTATCAGCGAGTTTCTGCTGCTGCTCTGCAGGACCATTGCCTTATCAGTGTCACACTGTGTCCATCCACATTGACTCCTTCCATTTGTGTGGTCTGTTGTTCTTCTTTTATCCACTACAAAGTCTTCTCTCTTTAATGCTCCTGCTTTTGCCCTGCACTTTGGTTCCATAACTTATTTTTCAGTTCCTGAATTCTGGATTTGCATTCTGCATGGCTTTGTTCAGCCCCTTCCAGGAGCACTGAGATGCCAAAGCCCCTTGCTTGCCCCTTCCCTGCTTGCCACGTGGCCTCGGCATTGGCTTTCCACCATGTAAGTGCACTGCTTTTCCACAGTCAAGTAAATAGAAGTCTCTGACCTCCTTGGGGTCCCCCCACCCCATGCTCTGCTGAGACCACCTGTAGCCCAGCCGTGGTGGAAGAATTGAGCCACTGAGGCGAAGCCACTCCTCAGGGAAACCCAGCCATCTTAAAGCCAATGCTAATGATCCTTTGATTTTCTCTGCAAAGAAGAGCATTTGGAAGGAGAAGATGTGTGGCCCTGTGTGCGTCAGAGTGCATTCTAGAAGGCAGGAAGGAGGAGGAAAGCACCTGACTCACTTTCCCACCTGCATAAAAGCCACACCCCAGCTCAGTCCTGGACCTGTGGCCATTGCCTCTGCCTGTCCCCATGGACATGACGTCCTTCCTAAGCCAAGCTGCTGGAGCCGCAGTGCACCAATGGGCAGTGCAGGGGATCAGAACATTTAAAGTCAGGCACTTTCTTCAGCCCAGCTGGACACAGAGGTCTCCTGTAGGAAGCTGGTAAGTGGGAAGTCTTTGGTGGAGGACATGGCTGCTGACCAGACAGAATCAAGAGTCAGTCCTGCAGATCTGAGAATCTGAACAGGGAAGTCAGCGTGCTCACACAGAAGCGTGTACAGGCAGAGTTAGCTTTCAGAACAGAATCCTGGCTCCTGGTTTCTGGACGAACCCCCCCCCCTTGCTCGTTGAGTAGCCTCACAGTCCTGAGTGGGTCTGTCTTCAGTTGTAGGGTTCTTCATGTGCACAGCTCCTCGTACCCTCTCTCTGAGCCTCGTGTCCCTGGTTGCAACCTCCTGGCTCTGCACCTGCTCTGTGCTCACATGCCACCAGTGCCTCTGTGACATAAGAGGTTTCCTAAACACTTCCTTTGACCTTAAACAGGAAATTACATTTGATTTTAGAAATGCAGGAGGAAAACTGATAAATAAGCCTGTGCCCCATCTTCTAATAAAATAGATATTTAACCCTTGGGGAAGAGTAATAAGAAAACTATCTCTGAGTGTATATTTGCTCAATGAGAATGAAGAGCTCCTGGCTGAGCCCTGCAATGGCCCTTCGTCTTTGACAGACACCTGGCCTGTCATCCTTGCCACCTCGGCCTTGCCACATGCTACGTTAAAATCACTCCTGAGTGGCTTAGCCATTAACTCATGCATCAACCACCAGCTACAGGCCTGCGTCAGGTGACGCAGAGCCAATAAAGCTCAGCCCTGGAGCACCAGGGGCTGCCAACTCACGCTGGGTCGCGAGACTCCAGTATCTAATCGTGGTGAGCACCACCAATCTAATAATCCCACGGGAAGGAGCCTCCCAGGGAGGCAGAGAGCAGCTCACTGTGTCCTGGGGGAGAAAGCAGAGCCCAGGAGCCTCCCCTGGGAGCTGAGGCTGGAGTCAGGCTGGGTGGCGTGTCCCCAGCACCCGGCCGAGGGTGCAGAGTGGCGTGTCCCCAGCACCCGGCCGAGGGTGCAGAGTGGCGTGTCCCCAGCACCTGGCCGAGGGTGCCGAGCAGGAAGCCACCGACAAGGAGGCCAGATGGAAGCGCATCTTACCTTCCCCGATTCTACAACAATGCGGAGGAGTTCTAACTCAGAAAGCAGCATTCAGAGCTGCTTGAGAAAGATCTCCTGGCTGCGCTGTCAAGGGGGGATTGGGGAGCAGGGGAGGTGGGATAAGGGCCCAGGGACACTTCTAGTCTTGACTTGAAACACTTCAGAGAATAAACGCATTTATTCTAGAGACATTATTACAGCTATGAAAAGAAGGTGGTCAAGGAAAATGCTCATGTGCTGGCTTGGATGACTGGGTAGAGGGCCAAACCCTCAGAAATTAAGAAATCAAAGGAGAAAGCCATTTCTACAGGTAGTTATGAGGAGCGGTGGAGAAAGTGTAGGAAAAGGAGGGTGTTTCTCAGTTGATTTCTGTAGAAATGCGTCTGCATGTTCCCCTTGAGATGGGCAGAAGTCCTGGTCCTCACCTTGGTAGATGTGCTCCAACACAGCAGGCGAGGCCCAGGGAAGCAGGGTCAGCCTGTGGGGAGGGAGCCATTCCCTGCAGCCCAGAGAGGCCGCTCTGCGTGCAGATCACAGGAAATCAGAATGTGGGGAACTGGACTGAGGCGCTTGGAAGAAATTAAGCTAGAGAGATGAAGTCCCTTAAATGTCCTCTGCACCAGCTGACGGCCCACAATCCCAGAACTCGGGGGGCTGAGGCAGGAGAATGCAGGTTGAGGCCAGCCTGGGCACCTAGCGAGACCCTGTCTCAAAAGAAAATATGAAAAGTGCTGGGATGTGGCTCAGGGGTCTAGCACCCCTGGCCTGGATCTCCTGTACTCCCGGAACTCCTGTGGGTGACAGCAGGACGGGCCTGAGAGTCTGGGTGCAGTGGAGCACCCAGGCAGCACTGAGGAGGGACGAGGGGCCGGCCAAGGGACAGTGGTGGACGGAGAAAGCCCATCTGTCTTACAGGACAGCCTTGAGGACCAACGAGGTAGGAGAGGTCAGATGCGTGGCGTGCGCGGCCATCCCAGTGTGCTCCGCGGGCCTCTGTCGCAAAGGCTGCGCTCAGGCCTGTCACTTTGGTTGTGTCAGCACTTGTACTTTCTGCTAAGCAGACTCCACTTTATATAATCCCTTCAAAGTCACTCGTTAAGTCTCAAGTTTGTCACAGGAAGCAGCAGCCCCAGCGACCAAGCCTGGTGTCCAGGCCTCAAAACTGCTGGTCCTGCCTCGCAGGGGCCAACACCCCGTCTCATTCCAAGGCTCCAGTTCCTGTTCAAGGCATAATTTATGACAAAACTGAATCTTGTTCTTAATATTTACCTAATTAAAAGATGACTTAGGATCCTTTCAAGTATCTGAGTGTCATTATGTTACGCCAAAATTCTGCCATATTCAGACAAGCAAAAAGAAGGCCGTGAAATGGGCTTAATGGTGCTTTGGTTTTCACAGGAAAAAGGAAATTCAAAATCAAAGTGCTTAAAAAGTGGTACAGGGCTAAAGAAACCAGGCACTTAGAAAGCACCTAATTCCTGAATGACTACTTTGGCAGATATTTTTGGAAGTGCTGCCCGTGGCTGGCCCGCATTCTGGCTCAGAGGTGCTGACCCACTGTAGAATCCCTTCAGGCAGGGAGCGGGGAGCAGCGGCAACACCTGGAATCCCAGCCACCCGGGAGGCAGAGGCAGGAGGATCCCAGGCCCGAGGCCCCCTGGGCCAATTAGGAAGACTCTGTCTCAGAATAAAAACTCAAATGGCCAGAGTGCAGCCCTGGCAGAGCAGCCAGCCAGCACCGTGAGCCCCGAGGCTCAGTCCCAGTACTGCACACACACACACCCTCGTGAGCATGCTCCTGCAACTCTTGGGGACACTGAGCGAGCCACCACCGGCTCTCCTCCACTAGCACACACTGCAGTGCCGGCCTGCGTGGGTCTTCTCCACTTAACGCAGCACCCAGTGGAACAGCCAGGGCTCCTGACTCAATCCAGCATCGACCCCGTCTGCCTGGAGAAAAGTCAACCCTGCAGTTACCGTGGCCGTCCCATGAGACCGCCCATCGGGGCCACTCAAGGTCCTCACCGCCACCTGCCTTCCCACAGACACCTGCAGATCCACCCCTCCCTGTGGCTGCTGACTTGAAGAGCGGCTCAGACGCAGGCGACCTTCTGACCTTTACCTGTGTATCTAAAGGATGCGCCGCCAACGTCACCGCCTGCTGTCCAAGGATTCCAGAGCTGAGCTCATCACACGCATTTCATGTAGCACTGGGCGCATGGAAAGCAACCATCACAGGCACACGGAAATGCAACCCTCGGAAAAATCATTACTTCATTTTGACATCGTACACATTAACACACACACTCACACACCCTCATTCACACACACACCCCTGTGTTCACACATACACACACACTTGTATTCACACACACACCTGCATTCACACCCACACCCCTGTGTTCACACATACACACACACTTGTATTCACACACATACTCTCATTCACACACACACACTGCATTCACACACACACATTCATACACACACCCCTGTATCCACACACACACACCTGCATTCACACACACACCCCTGTGCTCACACACACACACACACACACACACACACTCACACAACAAAACACACACCTACATTCTCGAACACACCCATTCAAGACATCACACACACACACACACCTGCATTCACTCACACACACACACACAACAAATATATGAATAAGAACCTGGACTCAAATGATTCAAGACATCGTTTTTTCTTTTGTACCAGGGATCAGACGCAGGGGCACTTAACCTGGAGCCACATCCCCAGCCCTTTCTTATGCTTTATTAGAGACAGGGTCTCTGAGTTGCTCAGGGACTCACCAAATTGCTGAGGCAGTCCTCCTGCCTCAGCCTCCCGAGTCGCTGGGATTAGAGGCGTGAGCCACCACACCTGGCTCAAGACATTTTAAAATGGATTATTGGTTGAAGATATGGTTGCTGTAATTATGCTAGTAAATAGAATGATAGAAAAATATATTCTATCCTAAAAATGTAATATAATATTTGACAGCAGATTAATAAAAAGTGGATGCTCCTCTGCTTCTGCCTGATGCAGACTCACTATAACTCCGCAGTGACACATGGCCTGTGGCCCATGACTCTCCTCCCCTTTCAGAGACGGGGGACATGCTCAGCATCCCTGTGACATCTCCAGCTGTCTTACCCAGGTGCTGACACCCGGACGAGCCACGTCTGGAGCATTTTCTTCCCTCTTGCTGCTTTTCTTTTCTTTTCTCTCTTCTTCTTTTTTTTAAGTCTCTTTGTTTCAGTTTGTATCTAGAATGTCCCCCCAGAACTCATGTTGAAAACAGGTCCCAGTGCAGCAGGCTCAGAGGTGGGGCCCCTGGGAAAAGGTCAGCTATGGGCACCGTGACCTCACGGGTGGACAGTCCCCCTGGGGAGTCGAGACAAAGGGACAGCGGGTGGTGACCAGGCCAGGGAGGAGTGAGGGAGGACTGCAGGGCTGCCTTGGGGACCACGTCTTGTCTCTGGTCCCTCTCTCTCCCGCTTGTCTGCCTTGTCTCCTTCCCAGCTGCCGCGAGCGGATCTTGACTCAAATTATTTCTAGGAATCCAGTCCCTAGGCCTGAGCAGAAACCGTGGGCTCCAGATCATACCTGGGGTGCCTAGCTCGCCTCACCACCGCGGTAGTAAACCATCTGAAGAAGACACAAGGTCAGTCCTTCCTCCACCTGCTGGTGATGGGTTATGGCCTGGTGGAGAGATCAGCCACACATCTGTGGAACGCATCGCGAACCCCCGGTGAGCACAGCTCAGCCAGACCAGGACTGGGTCGGTGCGGAGAGAAAGTGCCGGAGCCCCAAGTGGCCAACTTTGGGCCAACTGCCCTCACACAGGAATCGCCTGCCACATCTGCTCCACCTGTGGGAGTGCTTGTGGGAGCCGTCTCTCAAGCAGTAGGAAGCCAGCTTGCCAAGAACTGAATCCACATTTGCCAGCCTTCCTGATGGAAGACCAGGAGTTTTCATAGGCTTGGCATTTGGGAGAAGTGGAGCGGTGATGGTGTCTATCAGCCCAAGGAACACATTCCACCAAGTAGAGGGGCCAAGGCCCAAATCAGAGCCACACAATTGTCTAAATTTGCCCTGAAGGAAGAGTAGGGCTTGACAGGTGTGAGAATAAAATCTAGGTGCAGACGTGGAGTTTGCTGGTGTCTAAAATGCACCAAAGGAAACAGTGATGCAGACGGGGAAGGGTGTTAGGGAGGCCCACAATGGGCCCGTCCCGGGGAAGCCCCTGCGGTCACTGACACAGCAGCAGACGGATCTGCAGCTGGTGGGGACAGGGGAGCCGGTGCGGGAGGGGCTAGGGGTCAAGTTGATGAGACAGGACTAAAGGCAGGTAAGAGAAGGAAAGGATCAGCACTGTTAAGGAAGGCCACGTCCTGCATTGTCTGGGCCCGAGAGCGTCCTGAGTGCAGGGGCACAGCCCAGCCCTGCCAAGGTGAAACTTCTGAGTCCAGCCACGTGCCCCGAGTGGGAGGGCTGCAGCAGAACTTCCTGCTTCATTCTGCAGAGCTTAGGGAAGGCGGGAGAAGTAACCGAGAGAAGCATCCCACAGTGAGCAGCAAAGACAAAGGTGGAGGTGACCGGCCCAGGAACGGGAGGGTCCATTAGCTCTTGCTCAGGGTGAGCTGCGGCGGCCGCTCACCTGTGCTGAAGGCAGGGCTGCCTTCAGGAGGACACTGAGCTCAGAGCTCAGGGGCTGGCACCTGGAAGGTCTCCATCACACCTTGGCCCTGGCCGGGTGCAGCCCCGCCCGTCTCGCATGGGACCGACCCTCAGGGCCACCACACCCCCGCAGACGTCCCTGGAGTTGGCATGGTGCTGGGGCCACCTTGGGATGGAGGTGACGGCTGAAGACAAGGTTCAGGCAGTGCCACAGCCATGGAAACGCAGACCACGAAAGGAAGGAGAGGAGGAGTGGCAAAGGCCGGCCCGGCACGTTCCGGAAGGGTCTGCGCCTGAACAGGAGGGAGGGGAGCGGAGGAGAAGCCAGGGGCCTCGCAGCCCTGAGGCACTGCTACCTGCCGGTTGCTCTGTGTGTGGCTCCTGCCTTGATCTTCCAACAGCAAGGCAGAGAGCCTGGCCCAGCCCAGGAGTGTCCTCAGCAGGAACTGGCCGGTCCTCCAGGCGAGCCTCTGAGGTCTCCCATGTTGGCTGAATTCTTAGGTCCTGATCTGTGGATTCCAACCTCCCCTCACCTTCGGGGTCACCTTTACGTGGACATGTTCTGAGCCTCAGCTGCCACCAGATAGGATCTGACTGGACTTGATGCAACGTCCCCTCCAGTCCTCAGCAGTGAGCAGTGGCCAAGTGTAAGGTCAAACAGTGACCAGTGGCCCACACTTGTGGCCAGATGTCTCATAAGGAGAGAGGTCACTCCGTTCCCTGACCATGAGTGCTGGCCACCCCTCTGCCCTGCTGAACCTGCAGGCTACTTGCTGCTTACACCCTGCGGACGAGGGCATGCTGGAGAGGCCAAGGCCCCACCAGGCAGGCTTTGGAGACACAGCGCTGAAGGGATGCGCGTCTGGGCAGGGGTTCCGGGAGACCAGGCTGAGGAAGGGAAGAGAATTCTGCACGGGGGCCTTTCCATGAGTCGGGAGCCCCCTCCGCGGGCCCCTGGTGGTGTGCTCGGATCTCTCCTACAGAAAGAGAACCACCAGAATGGGCTTTCCACCCCAAGCCCTGGCCATTCTGTCCTACACAGTGTCCGGGACAGCTCTCTAGCTCCTGTCCCCAGCCGGCCAACTGCACTTGCCGTTGCAGAGATCCCAGTCTCTTCTGTGCTCGCCACTCTGTGGGAAGCGCTGTCACCAGGGGACTCACACCTTCTGTCCCTAAAGCCGATGGGAATGTTCAGTCCTTGTCATATTTGATCTATAAGCAGCATTGAACTTTCTGCTGAATAAATCCTCTTTCTCAAAACACTCTTTCCAAGGCTATGGGACAGGACACCCTCTGATGAGCCCCCACATCCTGGTTCCTCCAACCCAGTCTCAGTTCTGCCCTCTCCTGACTCCCCTCTCTGGGCAGTCCACACACGCTAGCCCTCATACCTGAGGACCCACGCTCTGGCCCAGGGTCCCCCGTTGAGCCCAGGACTTGCCTGGCCAACCTACACCCACCTCTTCTTCCCAGTGTGGAACCCGGGGCCTGTGTGTTCTGCTCACCACGGAGCCACAGCCATCAGGATCCTGAGAAAGGGTGTCACGAGACGCCCCGGCTGACCTGGCACATGCAGTTCTTCCTGCCTCCAGTCACGCCCTGGG